TTATTTGAAATAATTTACTCCAACTTAGAAAATTTTTTAGTTCTTAATAATTCCAGTGTTTTCGTATAATTTACTATGCTTAAAAAAATGGTTTTCAGATTTATGTAGTGATGACTGCGTCCCACAGAATGAACATCGTTGTCATAAACGTGACCACATGCTGTCGTGTTGGGACGCTGAAACATGTCAGCTCGGTAGATTTTTTTGTTGCATTTCGTTCTGAAAATTGATCATGCTGAGCATAAATTTCAGTAGAAATTTGAAATCCTTTTGAATATAAGAAATATGAAATTTAAAGATGCAAATCAAGAAATGAGGTTTGTAATTTCCAATTTAATTTTATTGCAATTTTCATTTTTCTCAAGCAATTGTTAACTGTTTCAGAATGTAAATACACATGGAACGATGATAAAACGGTGGGACCAGGTTGCGACGATGACGGCGAAAAATGTCATGATCAGTGTTTGGGTGGATGCTCATCACCTGATGATCCGAGTGCTTGCCATTTCTGCAAAAATGTCGTCTATCAGGGTATATGCATGGACAAATGTCCAACTGGCTTGTATGAAATACATCACATTTATCTCGTAAGGCAAGTGCTTTTCATTTTGAAGTGATTTTATGAAAATTTTGTAAAAAGGAAGACTTTATTTTCTTTTTGTAATGTCTTTGCTTCAAGTAAAGTTTTATCGTTTGATGCTGTTTTTTGTTCAAGCAAGAAAAATTGGCTTTTAAAAAAGGAACTTGAAGCATTCACGTTAAAACATTAACGTGAATTATGATTAATTGAATGGAAAATTTTTTTGTTGTAGAAGATGTGTAACGATTGAAGAATGTCGAAATATATCAGCACCAGTAACGATGGAAAGTACTAAGAAACGGATGCTAATAGTTGAAAATATGTGCCGTGTTGATTGTCCATTTGGGCAGGAAATTGGTTTGTGTATTACTATTTTAATTATAAAGCGGAAATTAATTTTAAATAGAGTGATTCTTTATTAATTCAAAGAAATGTAGAAGTGATTTTTTTTTCCATTGCAGACCCGACCACTTCATCACATTGTATTAAATGTGAAGGCTATTGTCCAGTGAAATGCAAAGGCGGTACCATCGATTCTTTTGCACGCGTCAACGATTATTTGTTTAAAAAATGCAACGTTATTGAAGGTTATCTAGAAATCGAATTAAGGTTTGTTGGTCAAATTTTTTTTAAGATACGAAATTACGTTACTATTTGCGGTGATATAATAAACAAGAGTAAATAATTCGAGATACTCAACAATAATGAATTATTTTCCATGGATGGAATGAAATCAGTTGGATACCGTTTCTTAGAATTTGATCCTTTTAACATTCGACTTTAGCGGCTAAATGATAAGAGTGGAAGATAGGATATTTTTGTTCCCATATATGTTTCTGTGCGAAGAGTTTGGATAGCAGATCACTGTAGAGCTGATTAAGAGCATAGTCTATTACTCTATCTTTAAATGAAAAGAAGGAAGAAAGGAAAGTTTATGAGACTGATAAAACTGCAAAATTTTGATACAAAAGATTAATGTCCTTATTCATTATTTTAGAAAAGGCTTAGATGCAGCAGGGATGGAAAAAATAAGCGAAGCATTGGGCTATATTGAAGTTATTGAAGGCTATCTGTTGATTGATTTCAGTATATCATTTATTTCTTTGCACATGTTCAAACGATTGCGATTAATCAAGGGAAACATACTTTATCGAGATCGGTACATTGTAAAATTTTCTAATAAAAATGTGGTAAAATATACAATGCTTCCACACTTTTTTTTCTTGATATAGAAGGAGGTTTAATATTGTTCGAAATTAAAATGAGAACATTTCCCGTTTACATCTTATTAATATCACCATCTATAGATTGTAATGTCGACTAATTAAATTTGTAATCACATCTTGTAATGCACACGTTTTTGGTTAGGCTGAAGTGTCGAGAACATTTCTTCTTTTAAGTTTGAGCATTATTCATGTTTCCATCGCTTAAACTAGCAAAATTTTGCGGTCGAAATTATTTTAAGAAGTTCGACTTGTCTCTTTCGACTTCGACTTAAATAAACTTTTTTTAAATACATTCTTAAAGAAAAAATATATATATACTTTTAAGATGATTTAAAGAAAAATATATTTAATAGAATATATATACTTTTAAGATATGCGCTTGCAATATTTGAAAATGCCAATTTGCGTCAAATATTTGATATTGAAAAACGGCCGTTGACCCTCGGAAATGGTACAGTGTTGTTCCAAAATAATCGCATGTTATGCTACAATCGCATAAAAGCACTTATCGATTATGCGGGCCTTACTGACGTGAAAGAAAACGATGTGTCATATTACAGCAATGGTGATCGGGCAGTGTGTGAGTGTTAACGTTTAATTTGGATAGCAAAAATTTAATTTTTAATTCCCTGTTTTTCTTTTTTCTCAGTTTTCTAAGTTAAAGATTTATCAAAAAATTCAGGTGACGAAACGACATTTGAAGTTCAAACTGAAGATATTCATAGTTTTGGTTTCATGATATCTTGGGTTGCTTTTAATACGACTGATATGGATCATCGGAAATTCTTAGGATATCAGGTATTTGCAAAATTTTAGCAGTACGAAAGCAAGAGTATATTAGTAACAACAGGTACACATTTTTATTGTAACTGCATAACCAGAAATAGAGAATCAGCTCTTTTAGTTTTATTGCCCAATCAGTGATTTTGACTGCTCTTTGATGATGAGTTGCTAAAAAAAAGTTTTTTTTATGCTAACGGTTATATTTGAAACTAATGTGGAACTTTTTATCGTTGCAGTGAGTAAAAAACAGAAATTTTTTCTGTGCTCTGACAGAACGAAATTTTAGTGACAAATTGGAGTATCGGTTACACGGTGGAAAAAGTTGCTATAAGTATTAAGTCTCCTTGTTTTTAACTGATGTTTATTACATTTGAATTTTAGATAAAATATTTCGGTTCAAAATTAAACATTTGATTTTTTTTGCGTTTTGAAGGTATTTTATAAAAAAGTGGATGGTCCTGATCCTTCACTGAGCATTGATGATGATCGCTCAGCATGCAGCGATTCGTGGCAGATGCATTTTGAGCCAGAGAAAGGAAATGGTAATGAAGGTTTGAATCGAGGAGCTGGTATTTTTGCTGTAGAATCTAATACGTGGTATGTTAATTTAGCAGTATGAATCTATCGGAACTTATCGATTTTGTAGTTCATGTGGCATGATGGCCTATTAGCTTTCTAAGAGACTTCTTCTTTAAACATTTGTGGTCAAGTTCTTGACATTTAGAGTTTTTCGATGTTGGATGGTAGCTATTTGTTTATTTCTAAATGAATATGGATCTGTTTTTAGGTACGCATATTATGTTCAAACTAAACTTATTAATCACCCTGGTGCACGAAATGCCATTTCCAAGATTCACTTTTTGAAGACACTCTTCTCCACTCCCGATCCACCAAAAGATGTCGTTGGCAAGTCTCTCATTATGAAACCTGATCAAATTGAGTGAGTAATTTTCAAAAAAAGCTCCCTTTTTAGTTTATTTGGTAAACAGTGCTCATATAAGTTCATTTCATCTCAATTTTAGTAAATTGTTTCAGTTGTTTATTTGGCATCTATTTTGATAATTTATAGTAATCAAAACAAAACTTTGTTATAATAAATTTGAAACTATAGTTTCGGAAATTTTTAAACGGATATTTTTTGCAGTTTGGCTTGGGAGCCACCAGAGCGACCAAATGGTGATATCACACATTACGTTGTCAAGTGGCAAGTATTAGGTGATGATCCATCGACAATATCAGGAAATGTTTGTGATGATAAAGCTGGTAAGTTTCAAAGATATAAGTGCTTTAACAATATAAGAAGTAATGTAAATGATTCGAGAAAAAAAAGATGAACATTCTGCCACAGCTACGTTGTTTGCGTTCGAGGATTTTTTTCAGTTAATAATGAAATTTAAATGAAGCCAGTTGTGTTTACAGTGTTGTGTATCATTGCTTATTTTCTTCTATATTTACTCCAGGTACGGGATTGCGACATCACAAGGATATAAATGATCGATTCACACATACTTCGCCTGCACAACAATCTTGCTCAAAAGCTGGATGCTGCGAATGCCGATCACTTAAGGTAACTGCTATATTATCATGTTGTATTAAGGGATATCAAGTTACTTCACCATTTCAACCAAATAAACTAAAAAGATCGATTTTTTAACAGCAACAACAGACAAATCCAAACGATATATTTCTGGAGGATGAAAGAGCTAATGAAGCCGATTTTGAAAATGCTGTGCAGAATTTGGTCTTCGTGCAACAGTATGCTTTTTCATTTGATTAAATTCAAAATTTTCTGAATAATTTTCTTAAATTGCTGTTGTTTGATTTGATAATTTTAGAATCCGTTGTGATAAGTTTTTAGAAGTATTTCTGAGTGGGCCAAAATTTTCAGTTCTCGAAATTACTGAAAAAGCAGTAACATGAAATTCAGATTTACCTTAATAACACATATTAGGTGTTCATAATCTTCGGTTTCTGGGACTTGATGCTGTTTATAATCTTTGGTTATTCACATATTAATTGTTTTAGAGACTCAAAGAAAAGTTTAACTGACAAATCACGAATTCATCGCAATCGTCGATCAATCCTGAAAGATTACAATGAACCAAATGAGAAGCAGTATGGTGACGAAAGGTTTATATTTATAACACAAAATGAAGTGAATGAAACTACGAGTTTGTATCGATCAGAAATGGATATTGGGACCCATAAAATTAACGTCACTACACGTCGTTTATCTATCGTTGGCCTACGGCATTACACACAATACCAGATATGGGTTCGTATTTTCGACATTTATTGGTAATGAAGCTCGCACATTCGCAGTTCAAGATTGAGTTCCATTGATAGCTAGCAATTGATGTTATTTCATAGCACTGACTTCGTGAATTGACAGAAGCAGTAGTTATCATTGCAAGGTTTAACTTGTAATGCTAAAAAGTCGTTATTGCATTAGTGATACGTTACACTAAGTTGTTAAATGTCTGTCGGTTTATAATGACGTTTAATGGGAATATCTTTTTTTCTACAGTAGTCGTTGTTGTTCCTGTTTTTGATCTTTTTAACAAAAAGGATAAGGTGATACTGAAACTGTGAAACAGATGTTAAGATTTATATCTACAGATTTATGCATGTCAAAATATATCGGCTCCAGGTGGTGCGTACTGCTCACAGCGACCTGGTTGGATGGTCGTACGCACAGCACCAATCGGTAAATACTTCTTTTTCTTAAGATATTGGAAATTTCGAACATTCTCTTTTTCTTTTCTTTCATATCAACTACTTTGGTTTTCAAATGTTCATGTTTATTTTCTTAATTAATATAGAAAATAGAAAAAGTGAGTTTTCAAAATTTCTAGCGTTCTTGAAAATTTCAATACATACATCAATAACTAAATTTTGAATCGCTGATAGATTTTCAGAAAACTGCACAATTTAATCCTTGGTTAATTGTTTTAGCATCAAATGATTTGGTTGACAATAGAACTATCAAGGTTATTAATTCAACATCGTTCAAACAAGACCCTCGCAGTCGTAAAATAACCTGGCAGGAACCGTCAAATCCAAATGGCATGATACTTGCATATCGAGTTACTGTAGTGGCTGAAAATCTTGCCCAAGTTCGTAAATAGTTTTCAGCTGTTCATAACAGTGTTTTACTAAAATGTTGTCCCACCGTTGAGACATTAAGTTTTTTGTCGAGGTCATCACATTTTACTTAATGATAGCTTATTGAGGGAATACTTGCATTATTTGTGGTCTGCCACAGGAATAAGTACAGTCTTACTTTTATTGGATAAGTTAGGTAATCTTTTGTAATTAATTTCTATTTTCAGACACCAATAAGTCAGTGCGTTAAAGCAAGTAATTTTCGTGAACGAGAAGGTGTGGTGTTCAGTGGATTAGCTGAGGGTGAATATCTGGTGCAAGTGGAAACAATATCTTTGGCTTCTCTCTCATTTCATGCCATCAAGGAAACAGCCGTGGCACATACATTATTCAGGATTGTGAAACCGACATTTTTTACAACAACAGTAAGTTACTGAACTAACTAGAACGACGTGATCTGACTTTAACAGTTTAAGTTTCATAATTCATAAGTAACTTTCTCCATCATTTAGCTTCTGATATCTAGGATATTATTTTCATTTCATGCTGGTGTTATAATTGAAAGTTATTTTTCACCTCAGTCAAGACTTAACCCTAAATTAAAAATAAAAAATGATTTACCGAATCTTACATTGATGATATAATTTATAATTTGCTTCAGTCCATTGATAATGGGAAATATTACAAATATTATAACAACTGTTATTTTAACAAACAGAAAATGTAAACCTTTTACTTTTCATGCAGCTTTTACTAATTTGGTTAAATTAGTAGAAATTTTTTTATATTCTAGGTAGTTTCATTTATCGCTGTGATTGTTCTTCTTGTATTATCCATTGGTTCCTTAGCTGCATACTATATATCCAGGAAAATATTAGGAGAAAAGGTACATTTTCAACAGCTTTTCGAATGAAGTTTATATGTTTAAAAAAGATCTTTTGTTTAACTTTCTAGATACTTTATCTCTATAAAAAAAATTTTTTTGCAAATAAGGTTAAATGAAATGGATGCATTCCATCCCTGCAAGTTGTTCTTATTTTGTTTTTAAAAGTACGGAAAGGTTTAGTAAATTTCAATTTCTTTCTAGGTTCGTGAATACGTGCGGCAACAAATTTCGGCAAATCCTGAATATCTCAGCCAAATGGATGTTTATAAACCGGATGAATGGGAATTGAAACGAAATACAATTCATTTGGAAGAAGAAATCGGCAGAGGGACTTTCGGAAAGGTGATATTCTAACTCCCATATCTGTTTAGTCTTCATATTTTTCAAAGAAATTGAAGTCTATTCTTGCTGAATTTAAGTCATAAAAGTTTTGAGATTCAAAGCTTTTGTTTTAGGTATATCGTGGATACGGTGACAACTGTAAATCATATTTGGGTGCTACTTTCGGCGAGTGTGCAATCAAAACAGTATCCGAAACAGCGAATAGTGCGGAGCGTCTTCACTTTCTTATCGAAGCAAGCGTTATGAAACAGTTCAATACGCCTTTTATCGTTAAACTTTATGGCGTTGTTTCTGATGGTCAACCTGTCCTCGTCGTGATGGAAATGATGAAAAAGGTAGTTTATTCTTCATGGACGTTTAAAAAGAGAAGCAATTCCCCATAAAGTTTAATGAGATATGATAATAAACTATAAAAATTGAAATTCTGGATCTTTTTTTATTTGCATATGAAATTAAGGAATTTCACGCTCTATACACGTGTGTTTTTTTCTATATTGAAAAATATTATTTTCTGCTACAGGGTAATCTACGTGATTATCTACGGTCTAGACGACCAAATGCTGAGGAAAATATTCATGGTCTGCAAGTACCAAGTGCAGTCGACTTTTTCCGTTGGGCTTCACAGGTTGCTGATGGAATGGCTTACCTGGAATCATTGAAATTCTGCCACCGTGACTTAGCTGCTAGAAATTGCATGGTATTTCAAATTCAATCAAATTTTGGATTAAAGTTTAGTCACACTTCCATGCGGAATATATTTTTTTAATCTCATTATAGTACTGTTGGATAGGATTACTGTTGTAACCTTTATCACAATTTTTACAAATCATTTTAGGTGAGTGAATTTGATACGGTGAAGATAGGTGATTTTGGTATGGCAAGGGATATCTATTATCATGAATATTATAAACCAGCAGGTTTGTTCATAATTTCAGAGATTTAGATTTATTGAAAGCATTTTATAGATAAAAAGATGCAGGTATAAAATTCGTCAGTTTTAATCGATTAAATGATTCTAATTTCTGGAAGTCTAATTTAAAAGTCTTGTAAGTATGCATGCTGAAATTTCGTACTAATTTTTCATTTCCAAGGAAAACGTTTGATGCCAGTACGATGGATGGCACCAGAATCATTGATGGATGGTAAATTCACCATGAAGTCAGATGTCTGGTAGGAATTCCTTGTATAAAACTATATAAAACTTGTATTAAAAATTTTTTTTTAAACTATCTTGGATGTTGAGTACACCAGTCTGGAAAATATGAAAATCGAGAATGAGGAAATTGTTTCTATCATCCTTTTAGCTTCTACATGTTTGCAAGATTTAAAAGAGTCCTTGAAGACAAAGTAATGAAATATGTTTTTAATCACTGATATGTCGCTGGAAGGAGAAAAGTTATGACAATATAACGTTTTGTAAACATGTTGGTTCACTTGTCTGTCAAGTTAGAGATTTTAATTTCTAATTCAATGTCTCTAACTCCTTCAGTAATAGAATGAGCTGAAAAACGAATTGGATATAGATCAAGCTTAAAAATCCTTAATACAACATTATTCTTTACTAAGAAGTGAATGAAAAAGTATTGGAATGATGGGGTCCGAATATCGATAAGTAGAATTTCAATGTTTTTGAAATGAACTCCACACACATTAGTGAAATTCAGAATATTATCATTCGATGTGAAATTAATAAAAAAATTACATTTAAAAATGCAATATCATGCAGGTCTTATGGTATTACACTTTACGAAATGCTTACATTGGCTCAACAACCATATTTGGGTTTAGCTAATGAAAGTGTTTTTGATTATATTGGTGTGAAGAAAAAAATATTGGCCAGACCAACTGGTTGTCCGGACTTTTGGTATGTTTGCAGATTTTAATACAGTTGTTTCCTAATAAAATGTTGTAGCAAGAAAGACTGAATTTTGCGACTATTTGAATAAAATTGCTTTATATTTTAAAAAGTGAACTTTCAGTTAATTCGCTTCTGATGTCATATCTTTCTATTCTGAGTACAAGTTGAATATGTTTGATACTTTTGAGGTATGAATTGATGAAACGGTGTTGGAAATACGATCCGCGTGAACGTCCCACTTTCGCCCAAATTGTTGGAATTCTGTTGAGACACGCTGAAGATGGAGCGCTTAATTTTCCCGATGATGAATTTCGCGAGGTACCTTTCTTTGTTCATATTTTATACATTTCTTATAAAAAGTATAAAAAGCATGTTACCAGTTCTTTTTTCTCTGTGTGAGACTTTTATCTTTATCAAAGTACATTGACCAGAGGGCTGGACAAAAATATTGAATTTATAAAGATATTAATAATTTTTTATAAGACACTTATAGCATGGTATAACTTAAGATACTAAAATACGAAAAGATTTAATGTGTATATCATTTAGATGTCATTCGTGTTGTCCAATGAAATAAATATAGATGATTATCTAGATGAAGAGTTATTCCCAGTTAGTGATAACACTGGGCTTATGCGAACTACTAGTGCGGGATGTGTTGATGAGAGCGAGGTAATATTACTTTTCGCTTAACATTTTAGATGTTGAATACAAGTAATCATTTAACATTTCAAATATGGACTGTAACATTTGGCTATTTCTATTACTGGTTGATGTGCATTGTTAGTTCTTTTTTTTCAGACTTCATTCATTAACAGACCGGATAAGCAGCGATTAAATCATTCCAACAGTAGTGGAAACATTTGTTATTTACCAAGTAATAATGAAGCAAATGTTCAAACGAAGGTGCAACATTGATTCGTTTCTGATTTTGCTCATTTTAGTGATATTTAAAATATGACATGGATTTTTTAGGAACGAAAATGTTATGATTGTGGAGTAGGACAGTTTGTTTTCACTTTTTTTTTGTTTCACTAAGTGATGGCAATTTTTATGACAAAAATAGCTTTTTGCAGACGACATATAAAACATTATGTTTGTAGGTTTTCTATCTCGAGCTATTATCAGAGAAGGTTCTTGTACTGAATGACTGCATAAATCCGGTACTATTTTAATAATGTTAATTTATTTCAGCCATTATGCTTCTCGAACCGACGTAATGGTACCTCGTCATGGCGACGAAGTATTGGCAGTTCTGGTCATTCCCAGAGCAGCAGACGTAAATCAGAAACTGACATTAGCTTAACACGGTTCGATAGAAACGAGGATGAATTTTAATTTATTACATTTATCAACCATAAATATGCTTTGTTATATATCGTTTAAATTTATGAATTATTAGGTTTGAGTAGAACTAGTAGCGAAAAACGTTCTAGGTACTAAATATTAAGATAGCTGACGAAAAGTATTGAGATGGAATCATCTTAAAAAAAGATATCGACAAGTATCTCGCAGATATATATCTCACATAATTTTCGAAATGATCTCTGAACATTGCATTACAGTTCGCAGTATATTCTGAAGAAAGACTACCTCAAGAATTATTAACGGAATAGGATTGCTCCGAAGTCAATAATGCCATGAAGGCTAAATAATAGTTAAAGTTGAATGCTGAATGTTAATATTCGGCATCTCTTATTACTAAAGACGATGTTGCTGTTGTTGTTTATAACTGTAGGATAATTTTTTTGCTCAATTTCTTGTTTCATTTTTTCTTCATCTTAATAATTTTCTACTAAAAAAATAAATTCACCAGCAATTAATTTGGATTCGATTGTTGAATGAGAAAAGATATCTTTCCTTTTCATTGTCATGTCACCAAAAAACACAAATTCTTCCTCCTTTTTTGTCTTTTCCTAGTTTTTTTTCCTTCTCTTTGTATAAATATCTCAATTTATATGTTTTGTTTGAATTTTTAAAAATGTTTTTGTTTGTTAATTTGTTTTGTTATTCAAATATTCTATCTTATTTTTTCTTAGTTCTCCGTATTTTGATCTTCGAAAATGCCATGGTGGTTTCTGCATTCACAGATTTGATTTCAGTATTTCAAGAAATTTGTTGTATCATTTAAAACAGTGTTAGCAGTCTGCCAACTTTTTTTTCGTTTTTATAGCATTTACTTATTCTTTATCGCCCTGTTCCCGCGAACAAGAATGATCAAATCAAAAGTTTTAACTGTTGTATTGCAAATCTAATATATCATTGTTTCCATCTTTTAGGAATCTCTTTTAAAATTGTTGTTTTTGTCAGCAATTCAGATACCACCGATTTGTTGGAACTGAATTAAAACAATTTTTAAAATCCGCTAGATTTTTCTTAGGGAGAGGGGACTACTGGATTGATACTGAGAAGTAGCAGATCATTTCTTAGTTTTGTTAAATTTTTTACAGTGCTTGCCTTTCAATGTTTGTGATAGCTAACAAAAGTATTTTGTTCGCCTTTTTTGAAAATTCCTTTTAGACTTTAAGGGTTAAATTTTTCTTGAAATTTGTTTGAAGAAAACTATAATTTGGGTTAAGTTCTGATTGTCTGTGATTCTGATTTCCAATAAAAGAACCGTTTTTAGTCGTTACTTTTTTTCACATGTTCAAAAACAAAGGATCCCTTGCTTCGATTTCAAATTATTATTGCTATTGTTAAATGGTGATCCAGTAGAGTTTTCCTCTTGATTAATGATAAGTAAAATTACGCTTTTGAGGTTAATGAAAGAGAAATTCATAGCGTAACTGTTTTAATTTGAAGATTAAATCAGATTTAATGTAGTTTCTATTGTAGAAGGTTTGTCATATCAGTTTTGCATACTCTTCTACTGAACGTAACTACGTGTACTTGACCCCTTTCACCTCATAATTTTTTTACAAAATTAAAATTTTCATTCTAAACAATATAACACAATTTATTTTTTCAAGCAGAAATAAATGCATAACGATGTAAAGTTTTGTAGATTCTTTGAAGTGATGCTAAATTCTCCTATATGTATGACTAATTCGTCAATTTATTCATGCCTAATATGTTAATGCTGAATTGACCGCGGTCATGTTGAATTTCTGAGTTTGATTTGAGATCATATTGAACTTCTTTTAGTTATAACTTTAAGAAGTGAAATATCTTGTAAATTCAACCAATTTATAGAAGTTTTACTATATTCTCTTATTCACTGATTGTTTTTCTAATTTATATATTACGAAAATAGTGTGAAGAAATTTAATCAACAAAATCATCAAATGTAACAAAAAGGTGCAACGTATACAATGTGTACATTCTAAGTGTAAAATAGAAATAATGAAAAAACAAGGAGCCGCAGCTTTCATTTATAAATGATGAAAATAATTAAGACACCGCCAATAAAACTAAATAGAATAAGTATCATAACAGACTAACTTTGTTAGGCAAGGACGAATTTCTCATGAGATGTCAAACAATTGAATGGGAAACAGTAGTACTTCATAGATTGCCTTCTCAAATATAAAAGAAACTGAAGGCTAACTAGAACTATCCTCGTTATGTAACTCCTAAAAATAAAGCTCTTCATTCAATGAAGCATTATTAAATTTCCTCCTAAAAATATCGCTTTAAGATATTGATAAAATATGGTTCTCTTATTTATTTTTTTTATATGCCACAATAAATCAAACATCTAAATTTTGCACGCCATTAATAAATAAAACATTTCATGATGATACTAAACATGTGCAGTAAATATGGAACATTGGAGAACACCCTTTCTGAAGAAAAGCTTAAAACAAGTTTAAACTCAAAAATTATTTAACATCTAGAAGTAGATTAAATGGATAAATTCTCACGATGTCAATTCGCCTGCGAAATTCAGTACAAAATTTGCATTAAATGCATCTTATCAAATGACTTTTCGACTTCATAAGTATCCATCCTCAACATCTGAAATTTCACACTCGTAAAATGTATTTTAATAAATAGCAGTGAAACGGTTCGTCATCAATATGATTTGCGATGTCATAACTATACGGTTTTTCACCGGTATGAATTCTTTTCTAGAATTTAATATTTCATCAACATAATTTGGATCGAGTACACTCCTTTTGAATGGTTTTTCGTTCTTATGTATATTCCTTCTAGCATTTGAAATTTCACATCAGTAAAATATGGTTAATACATGGCAGTGAATTGGTTTGTCATAAAATGACCTGCAATTGCACAATTAGACTGTTTTTCACTGGTACATATTCTTTTCTGGAATTTAATATTCTCCAATATAATTTAGACTAAGTATATTCCTTCTGAATTGCTTTTCACAAGCACAATTAGATGGCTTTCACCGGTATGTATTCTCTTCCGGAATTTAATATTTCATCAACATAATTTGAATTTAGATCTGAATGGTTTTTCGTCCTTATATATATTCTTTCTAGATTTGAAATTTCACACCAGTAAAATATAGTTAATAAATAGCAGTGAATTGGTTTGTCATGAAATGATTTGCAATGTTATAACTAAATGGCTTTTCACCGGTATGAATCCTTTTCTGGGATTTATATTCCATCAATAATTTGGGTTGAGTACATTCCTTCTAAATGGCTTTTCACAAGCACAATTAGACGGCTTTCACCGGTATGAATTCTCTTATGGAATTTAATACTCCGTCAACATAAATCTGGATTAAGTAGATTTTTTTGAATAGTTTTTCATTCTTATATATATTCTTTCTAATATTTGAAATTTCACATCAATAAAATATAGTTAATAAATAGCAGTGAATTGGTTTGTAATGAAACGATTTGCAATGTTATAATTAAATGGCTTTTCACCGGTATGAATCCTTTTCTGGGATTTATATTCCATCAATAATTTGGGTTGAGTACATTCCTTCTAAATGGCTTTTCACAAGCACAATTAGACGGCTTTCACCGGTATGAATTCTCTTATGGAATTTAATATTCCGTTAATGTAATTTGGATTAAGTACATCGCATTTGACTCGCTTTTTTTCACCTCTTTCTACATTTCGTTCTAGTTCAAATTTTGTAGTTATTGCACACTGATTGATCCTAGCTGTTAATTTTAATGTATAAATAAACCAGCAGAATTCATTTATGGAATTTGATACGTTGTTAACATATTGAGCAAATCCCGTTTAAATAATGATCCATCTTTATATATCCATTCCAAACAAACTAGAGCACGTTAATAAATAGCAGTGAAATGGTTTTCCATCGACATGAATTCTTTTGCAGAAATCCCAAACTAAGAGCTAGAATAGTTTTTCCACAGGATTCCAAACTTAGATATCACCAAATGATTAACTGGATACGTAATAATATCATGTTAAATCTCTGCATTCCATTGGTTATATAAGAACCATAAAAATAAAAATTACAACGGTAAAATCAAGCAACAGATTATGCTGAAAATAGGTGGTAACTTTCGAATTTTTTATAAAAAGACAAGTATCTCGTAATACTTGACGATTGTTTAAATCGCTATAGATGTACGAATATATGTCAGATTTCAGAGTATTCATACTTCTGTTCACCAAAGAGCTTTGAAAAGTTCATATAGGAAAAATTGATATTTCGAACTATCTTGATAACAATCCATCACACATTAATTAATTGGACGAAAACCATAAGTTAGTCCTTTTTATTTCCCGACAAGAATTTCTCGTTAGTTTATTTCGGAACAATTAATGAACAATTATGATGATAAAATGATTCCGTTTGTCTCATATATGGAGAACTCATCATTTTATCATCTCAGCTCCAAATCCTAAAATGAAAATTAACATACTGTAATAAAAACTAGTAACGCATAAAATTCAACGTCAAGAAATCAATTTCGGATGAGAAAATATGAAACACAAATATCTCGTGCTATCCTCAATGCGCTACTTTGGCGACTAACATTATAGATGTATAAATATATGTCAGATATTTTGTACAGAAAAATCAAAACACCAGCCTGGATCTTCATACTTTTGATTATAAGAGATCACACCTTCTAGGAAAAAAATAACATATCAAACTTGGTGATAACGATCAAGATTATCCTCATTATTAATTAAATGAAGAAATGCCACACGTGGGATTATATTCGTAACCACTTTTGTTTTCCTAATAAATGCTTCGCATTAGTTAATTATACAATAAAGAACAATCATGATAAAATGATTCTACCTATCTCATATATGGTAAACATTCACTACTTCAACTCGAAATCCTAAAGTGAAAAACAATGTAATTATTGTAGTTAATTTTGTATTATAAAAACAATGTAATTATTACAATATTCAGCAGCCTTTAAATT